GGGAAGAAATTTCAGTCGACAGGAATGTCCAGCTCCTCAGAGCCAGAGGGCAGGCCTTGATATTATTATTCCGCGGCACAGGGGATGGCGAAGAGCGAAGCGAGGAGGCAGGGCCTGTCGGGACCGCCATCGGCAGTAACCAGCTTTCTATAACCGCGCTGGCAGGCCCAGAGCGAAGGTGTTGGAGAGTCTCCATAGCGTACCAGTGATTCTCGAAGTGACTCACTGTGGGAAGGCCGTTTAGATTTCCGTTTGATGGTTTACTTGAGAGCTCTTGCAGAGACGGCTATTTGGGTCCAGGTTCGTCCGGCTTGTGCACGCACAGCACACGGCTCTCCTGAGGTATTTGTGCTGCTCGAGCCGCCCTGGGAGAAACGGGCACTTTCGAAGCAGCGCCGTTAGGCTCTGCATAGCTTAGAAGGCTTGGTATAAGTGTATACATCCGCTCGTCGCATGACCGTTTACCGGTTGCTTGTCACCGCATCCGTTTTTTCCCGTTGCAGCTTCACTTGCGTAGAATATCCACGACAAAGGCGGAAATCCGCACCGCCGTCCAAAATGTTACTTTCTCGTCATTGCCGAATTCTGGCTTTGCGTAGGCAGCTCCTTCTGTGATGGAGGTTTATCGAAAACGCGACAAAAAGCAGTCGCCATAGCTGGCAATTCGCCCCGCGCATTATGCTGGAAGCTTTCAATTTACTCCCCAGATGCGCGGAGGCCGCTTCTGGTTTTCTACCAGCCATGTGTGGATGTTTGGAGGCGTATATGTGTGGATGCGGCGTCAAACGTGCATCTCGAGCCACTTGTGCACATGTGCATGCATGTCGAATACATTCGCGTGACTCTACACACATGCCTGCACAGATTTGGTATTCCATCCAGTGATACACATACATGCCTATTACTGCACTCAAGTGCATATGCTTGTGCAGCTGCAGTGCGCACTTTATCGCGCCGATGAATTGACATATCAGGTGACCAAATGCGGATTTCACCTTTCTCCGAACGGAACAATTGCGTGTAAAAATTCCCTTGCTACTCCTTGTCCTTGTTTGTATACCAACTCGTGCGACGGAATGCGGCTTGCATTATGAGACACATCTTAACGCGTTTCGTCATCCCATTCCGCCTTCAGCTTCCAACAATCAACACATGTTTACTCTCCTCGGTAACAACCAACACTAGGTCTTTTGCAGCTGTGCGCTTCTGCTCTACTGACTCCTAAGAGCTTTATGGAACAGGCTGATGGCCTAAAGATAACAACTTTCTCAATGCTGGGTCAAGGCAAATGCCTACGGGTGCATGGACAGCTCTGATGCAAATACAAGCTGTGAACATCTCGGATTTAGCAAAAACTAGCTAGGCTGTGCCAAGACGAAGTTTTGCATCTCTAGCGCGCGCAATAATAGAGCCAGGTATATTTGGCACCTTGTGGTTCCGATCCCTGATCCTCTGGGCTTTGTCCTGCGGATTTTGAGCCCCCCACTCCCCCACCGAGCAATGCTGCTGCGGTCAGGGCATCCCTACGCACTTATATCACGTTGCTCGAAACAAAACATTCGATATAGACAGAGCTAGTAAATACTTTGTCCTGCCTTTCTGTAGATTCACATTGGATTCCGTGGGCTGTTCGCAAACATTGTTGAGAAGACACCAAACTTGTTTGCAGACAGCCCTTTCATGCGCTACTTTTCAGCGCAAACGCAGTCATAAACCCCTATATATCTGGGAATAGCGTATCTAAGGGTTTGATTATTTGACGAAGGCGTTGTCTGGAGTGCGCGAACTTGTTCCTTTCCCTGTGTTGCCGATTCACCGTTTCATGCGCAATTCGTTCGCCCGTCAGGTCTAGCTTATAAACTGAACAAGGCCTTTTTCAGGCTTTACAATTTGAGGCGTGCGTTGAATGGACTGCGTCATGTACTGTTCGCGTCTTCCCTTCAGTTGCTCATTTGCAATTCTACGCGCTATTCAGCGGCCTCCACAGGGTCAACGTATAAAAGAAGGAGTACTCTTTTGTTCCTGCAAGCGTGCTACTAGGACGTATTCTCGCTGAGTTTGAGCAGAACCAGCTGTAGCGTCATATCACAGTGGAAACTCGTCTCCCATGGGAATATCGGCCGAGCATTAGGGTACATCTGGAGTATCTACTCCCCACCAAAAACAGTGGGGTCCAAGGCGCGACATCGAATGCGGTTCTACCTTAGTTCTTGCACGTGAGAGGAAAGGAATCTATCGGAATGGAAGGCGCTTCTGTCGCATGGGTTGGTTGTGGCGCATGCGTTTCCACGTGTGTTTCCACTTGCGTGGAGGCTCGGATACTGCTAGGGAAGTGCGCTTTCAAAAATTGTTCACAGTGTTTGTAGCACGCTCTTTCTGGAGTTGGTATATTTACTCTTCATCCTGGGCCTTCAGCTCAAGGCCTGGGGTTGCGGGGGAGGAGGCAGCCTAACTGGAGTTGCATTGCACTTCATTGCAGATGGTGAAACATGCCTGCCTCACATATGAACACAAAGAAGCTTCAACAAAGCTTCCTTTACTGCGTGCTTTACCTCTGCAGAAGCTTATTGAGCATTGTGTTTGCTTGCAGACAACCTATCAAGGCCAAACGAGTGTTCCGGTGCTAACTGCAGGCAGGCCATGATACGCTGAGTCTATCCACGACAACGAAAAAACTCTCATAGCCTCCGACTAACTCCACTATGAAAGCCACGGAAAAATCCGTGCAGATTTGCTTTAGCATTTAGACTTGCTTTCAGGCAGTTTTCCACTTCCATGTTGATGTTTCAGTGTTAACTTTGGACAGACGATACCACACCATGCTACACAAGAACGGGAGGCCCTTGCGGTATAGGGAACATTCAGGGTATAAGCAAACCCTAGAGAAGTACTCTTGTGATCCAGGTGAAACTATGCTGTTTTTTCAATGCTTAGAGGGGAAAATTCTGTTCAACCTACTGACCCGGCTGGGGCGTCGGGCTTCGGCGGGGGTTCACACGGGGGCCGTCGACACCAAATAAAATAGTTGAAGGAGGGCATTTAAGGCGTCCCAAATAGTCCGAAAAAATACGTTTCTTTTGTAGTGCTGCAGGGTTTTCTGGAAACATACAAGACGGGAGCAGCATCGCAGCCGACTCCGAGTCTGTTTCGTTAGTGACAGCCGACGTGTTAAGGTGGCTGGAGCAACGGTCTGCGCCTTGGCGGAAAGTTCTGCAACATTCTTGCCTTCTTCTAACCTTTTATTGTTGTTTTCTCATGTGAAATGCGTCTCACTTCTTTTAGATTAGCGAGATTAGCGGAACTCTCCCCAGACACCCCGCCTCCTGAGGGTCCCACACGGCTATCGTTACTGCTCGCCCTCTTGGGGCTGTCTTTTTCTATATCCGTAGCATCACGGCAAACAACGCTAAAAGGCGGTTTTGTACTTCCTCGCACGTTTCACATATCTGCGTTGCTATTTGTTCCTTTCTCAGCCCCTCACGGCTAAGCCGTTCAGCACGTCGTCGCCCAACAAAAGTAGGAGCGCAACAAGTGGGATTCTGAGCATGCAGAGCCTCGTATTGCAAAAGGATACTTCGAAAAGATCTAACTTCAAAGGAAAAGAAGAATACAGACTCATGGGTTCTGCACATGACAAACCGCAGCGCGAGTTAGGGGTCTCTCTAACTGCTTTTCCTCCCGCTCTATGAACGCGGCCGCAACAATCCAAGCAGCAAAAGCTTTTCTTGTAGATGAGAAGCTCCGAAAGAGTGAGAACTCGACAAGAGTGCATTGCGTAGACGCCGCCGCCGCCGTCTGCCTCAGGCTGCTGCCCATGTCCACAGTTCCGGCTACAACAGCAGCTCATGTCCCCTGTATAGAAGCAAGAAATTAGCACACAATCACCAGTATGTCGCGCGTGCTGAGGGCTGTGCGCCATCTTCGGGAGGCAGCAACAAAATTCACATTTTGTATATGTGTGGAGGCCCTATATATCCATCTAGACGAACCGGCGACGGTCGTCGTAGACCTCACCAGAGGTCAGCAACGTTATTTCACACCTGCAGTGCTGCTGATGCTGCCGCTGTTGCCGCAGTTGTTGCTTCTGCTGCTAATTTGGTGGTTGCTGCTGCTGCTTCAGTGTTGTTGCTGTGATTCTCCCTCTTTCGGTAGTTTCACCGCGCGTTATTGTAGCTGCTGGTGCTTCTTTTGCTGCTGTTGCCCCCCCTGCTGCACTTGCTACACATAGTTTAGTCTTACTGTGCGTTTCAGGGCCCCGTCGCGTGCGTGGGAATGCAACGATAGAATTATCCAAAGGCGATAATGAAGTGTCGTTGAATATTCCGTTACAGTGCAACGTCACCCTCTTCAAACCTAAGAGCAGCCCTCAGGCCAGCAGTAGCAGCAACAGCAGTCTAAAGAGGCAAAAATCCAAACTTGAAGGTGTGCCGGAGGCAGTAGGCGCTGCTTCTGGTGTTGCTGTTGCAGCTGACGGGGTCCCGTTTCTGCCTAAGAAAGCGCAGCTGCAGGTGAACAAGGCAGGCGGCTCAGCATTGCTCGTGTATTGCTCATCTATTGTTATGTGTGTTTGTTTGTTGTTTGCGCGCGGTTTGCTTGTTGCTGCGTCTCTGGTTTTTAGCTGTCTGCTTAGCTTCTGCGTGAACTGCTGCCCCGTGCGTCTGCAGCTGTTCCACTTGCAGTCATGTGTATGTTGTTGCCTTGGACCTTGTTCGCTGGTTGTTTCTGCTGCGTGTGCGTGTGCTGCAGCTGCTCGATGTGTCGAAGTCTCGTCGTCTGGGAGGCCGTATCCTCTCTCGCATGCGGCCGTCGCCTTCTGTATCGTTCGCGTCTGCGCTGCCTCGAGACCCTTCTGCTGCTGCCTCCATCTCTCTGTCTCCTGAGACAGCAGCAGAGACTCGAGACTCCGGAGTGCTTTTGGCAGAGGCCTCTTTTGATCTGGCCTCCCTCGCTGCTGCTCATAGCAAAGGCGTGCATCTGCAGACTCTCCGTCTGCCGCTAGAGAAGGCGAAGGGAAAGATCACGATTTCCGTCTCCCTGGACAAACTCGAGGGCACATTTCCAGGTAAGGCTCCCAAAAGCCATGCAACACCACAGTATCATCAACAGCAACGCCTGAAGAAGCAGCTGGTGTTGTTGCTGCAAGGGCAGCGGCGGCAGCTCCGGCCGGCTGCCTATGCTCCTGCTGCTGCTGTTGCTGCTGCCTCCTCAAGTTGCTTGACGTGCTTTCCAACTACTCCTGGTGCGAGCCTTTCCTTGCTGCTAGTTGCGCGGATCTCTTAGCATAGTGTGCTGCTGCTGCCATTTTGTTGCTGCGCAGATGAGGACTGCCTCTCTGTTTGTTCTGCTCTTCAATCTCCGCCACAGGATGCCCGACCTTCCCCACCCCAGGGCGCTCGAGGCAAGCTTTACTGTTGCTGAAGCTGCTGCTGTTGCTTTTGGCCACTTGCTGCTGCTTGCGCTGGTCGTGTGTCTCCCCGGCTGCTGCAGGCCGTCTTCTGGGGCTGCTTTTCTCTGCTGCCACTCTTGCTGCTGCATGTTTCACGACACGCACAAACACCAAACCCTAGCAGCTGAGCCTTACACTAAACTATGAAACTGTATTCTCTCTAGTTGTCAGCTTTTTTGCGGCTGCAGCGGCCCCTTCACCAAAGCCTACAGCAGAAACAACCGCAACCGCACCGGCAAGGTCGTCTGCATCGCCCACAATTGCAACAATGACAGAGGCAGCAGAAGACGAGCCCTTGGTACTGCGTCTGCCTCACAAGGAGACTCTGCCTTCCTCCTTGGAGACGCCTACCCTCGAAGAAGACACCTCGCCGCAGCAGCAACCTCAAGCAACAACAACAACGGAAGCAGCAGCAGCGACAGGAACTGAAAAGGGAGGGGCAGCACATCCTTCTTCTGCAGACAAAACTCAACAACCACCGGTACATCTCAGCAACTGCTGCTGTCTTGGGTCTCTTTTAACGCTTCATCTGCATATCTTAACGTGTTGGCGCTGCTGATGCTGCTGCTATTCAGATGCAGGAACTCGCATCTACAGGAACAGCCACTACTCCTGCGGAGTTGTCCCCAGCGGAAAGCCAGCGGCAACCGAAGCAGCAGACACAGCAGCAGCAGCAGGCTGAGCTGCGAAGGAAGGACGAGCTAATCGCAAGTTTGCAGCGCCAAGTAGCGCTCATGGAAGTAAGCTTCACTCTCGCAGCCGCGTAGGCAGCAGCTGGAGCAGCATATGCATTTGCTACTGCCGCCGTTGAATTACGCGCTGGGCTTCAGCCACACTCCCTGCAGCACGAGCGGTAAGAGCAGGAGCAGCAGCAGCAGCCGTACCAGCTGCAGCAGCAGCTGGCATGATGTGTCTTTGGTGTCTCAGGCAGAGAGTCATCAGGCGGCAGCCCCACAGTTGGCGCAGCTGTTTGCACAAATAGACGAACTGCACACGGCGCTTGCTGCAGCGCAGGAACAGCAACTGGCAGCAGTGGGCGACAACACCCGTCACAAGGAAACAACGACTTGCTGCTGCTAGTACTACTATTACTGTGGCTGTCGGTGTTGCTGCTAGCACCTCCTCAGGGCTGCTTTTTGTGCCCGCTGCTGCTGCAGGCGGAACAACTTCAACAAGAGAGGGAGAAGGGAGACAGCTCTGCAGCTGCTGCCGCGCTGCAGCAGCAGCTGCAGGACGCGGAACAGCGACTGCAGCAGCTGGAAACCCAGAGGCGCGAAATGCAGCTGCAGCAGCAGGAGCTGCAGCAGAAGAACAGCGAGCAGCAGCAGGAACTGTTGCAGCTTCAGGCGGAAAGGGATGGGATGCGTCTTATTGCGGACGCGTACAAGGTATGCATTTTGCATATGTACACTACAAGTCTGCAGCAGCAGCAACTGCTGGTGCTGCCGCTGAGGCTGCCGTTGCTCTCTGATTTGCAGGATGCGTCTCCTTATTGCAACATTAAGCGACAAAAGCATCCGCTCTATGTTTTAGCGATGTGGTTCGTTGCTGCAGAAGCAGCTGGAGGAGGTCCACCAGCAGCAGCAGCAACAGCACCAGCAGCACGAGAAGCCGCAGGAAGAGCAGGTGTTGCTGCTGCTGCAACAAGCGGAGCAGTGGGAGCTCGAGAAGCAGCAGTTGCAAAGTAAGCTAGCTGACGAGGCGAGGGAAAAGGAAGCAGCATTGAAGGAAGTGCGCCTGTTGCAGCAGCAGCTGCAGCAGCAGCAACTGCTGCAGGAAGGTGTGAACCAGAACTCGGACCCAGCAGCAGTACTGCAGCAGCAAATTATATCGCTTCAGCGGCAGGTATGCCTCCGTGTGTAGAGACACCGCACTGCAGCGGCAGCAGCAACAGCAGCCTCGAGACTTCAGGCAGCATGAGAATCCGTTTTACCACTAGCCGCAGCATCGTCATCAGCAGCACCATTTACAGCACCACTATTAGCGGCATGTCAGTAGCAGCAGCACTAACAACAATACCATTAGTGGGAGCTTTTGCGTTTCTGTACTATGACTGCCGCACTTGATGTACGTACCGATAAGCGCTAAATATACAAGTTCAATATGAAGCAAACGCGCAGTAGTACAGTAGCCAAAATAAAATAAACCAGCCCGTCACGCATACTTAATATTTCTTCATGTTTGGAGTGTATGCACAGCTCGTGGAGGCGGCAGATGCACGGGAGACGCTGCGCATTTCTAAGGACCAGACGATCGCCGAGCTGACCAAAGCCCTTCAGGAAATGCAGCAAAAACAAGTCAGCCGCCCTAATCTTAACCAGCGGCAGCAACTGGAGCCAATGCAGAAGCAGTGGCAGCACTGATCGTGTGTACGCTGCGGATTTGGTGTCTATGTAGGGAGAAGCGCAGGCGGCTCAGCAGCAAACGATGCAGAAGCTGAACACATTTAAGGAAGAGGCAGAAGCCCTCAGGTGCAGAAGCATCAAGTGCAGCAACCGCAGCAGCACCGGCAGTCAGCACAGCAGAAATTGCTTGTGTGCACTCATTGCGCCTTGCGCCGGACCGCACCGTTGCACATGCAGCAACTCGCGTCACAGATCTTTCCTGCGGCCCCAAGCTGTTTGCTTATTGTTACTTGGCCATTTGCTTTTGTTGCCCTTGCTGCTGCTGCAGGGAGAAAATTCGATGCCAGGAGGAGACGCTCCAGCGACTCCCCAGTCAGGCAGCCTGGTCTTGCGCCCAGCAGCAGCACCAGCTGCTGCTGCAGCAGCAACGGGAGTGGCAGCAGCAGCAGGAGCATCAGCAGCGACAGCAGGAGTTGCAGCTAGCAGCAAGAACACGACGCATAGAAGAGCTGGAGAAGGTACGTGCTCCGGGGGCCACTTGCTGCTGCTTCTTTTTGCCTGCAGTAGCGCCAATGCTGGTGCACCATTGGCATATGCGCCTCATCAAGGTTTTGTACAGGTGCTGCTGCTTTTTGCTGTCGTTGCTGTTGCTCCCGCACCTATTAGTACTGTAAACGGAAGCCACTGCACCCCCTCGGGACTGGCTTGTTCGCTTGTTCCCTGTCGTTTTTAGTAATCTCCTCTTCATCCTTTGCATTTGCGGGAGTCACGATGATTGTCCTTGGTTAATGTGTGTACACTCCAAGCACTACTTTCCGTACTCGTCTGTAGTTGCATGTCCTTGTCTACGTTCACTCGTTCTTCCTCTGTCTGTTTTTTTGTGTTGATCTGGGTTTCAACGGTCTGTCTCGGCGCATTGTTGCCTTTTCGCTTGTTCATTGCGTTCATCTGGTGTTGCTGGTTATCCCTCCTTTGTGCCTTTGTCTACGTGCAACACCGCAGGAGCTGGTTCACGTGAAAGTTGAGTTAGCAGCTGCTGAGCAACGGAGACACGAAGACATCGACGCCTTCAAAAAGAAGTTGCAGGCGGTAAAGGAAACAGTTGTGGCCTACGCTGCGGCTTCCTCCGGCAGCCTTCAGGTGTACAGACATAGACACTGCTGAACAGATTCTTTATGTAACCCCTTTCACCTTTGGCCCGTTGTGCTCGGGGTATATGTCGAACCCAGCTAAATCTCTACACATGTTGGACGCCGCGAGATGCCGCTCGTGCTGCTTGTCTCTGTTGCTGCTCCTTCCCCTCCGGTGCTGTTGCTGCTGCTGCTAGTTTGCCTTTCTTCTGTTGAGCTAGGTTGGGAGGTGAAACGTGCTGCTTTAGAATGAAAACCTCTGTGTCCGCAGGCCAAGTCCTCTCTCCACTCCCACAGAGGCAGCAAACACAGCGGCAATGTCGGCTCCAATGGGAAGGGTAGTCCTGTGAAGAGGCTGGTGCACATCAGCAGTCTAAAAGCCCTTTTCCGCTCCAGCAGCTCCAGCCGCCGCAGCAGCAGCTACTGTCGAAGCAGCAGCCGTTTCGTTGTTGCTGCCGCTGCTGACCAGCGCCCTGCTGCAACATCCACCAGCAAGGGTAGTCACCTGGCCGTACAAAGCCGATCCCTGAGCGAGAGTCGTTCTGACCTCCTCCGCAGCAGCAGCAACGCACAAGGATCCAGCAGCAACGGGAGTGGCAGCAGCAGTTACAGCAGCAGCTGCAAGGCACCACCAGCCTCGGTCAGTCTATTCGGCACGCAACCCGTCGCAGGCGCTCCCAGAGGGCCCTCTGTGACTCGCTTCAGCGCCTCCACGAGCGGCGGCTGCAGCGTCGTGACGCGCTGCGTGCCATGACTGTTGTACACCCTCCTTGGGGGGCTTCCATTTAAGAAATTGGGGTAGCTAGCTACCCCAATTTCAGGTTGTACAAGGGAATGTTGAGCTTCTTCCGAGCCCATTCCCCCAAAGGATGTGGCTAGCTGGCTAGCCGAAGCCAGCAAGCCCTCCCAGTTAGCTAGCTAGCATTGCTCCCGCTCGGCTGCAAGTACGTGTTATGTTCAAGCATAATGCTCCAGGCAGCCTAAGACGCTGGAGCCGACAGAACTCCTGGACTGTCAGCCCTGCTACCAGGCACAGAGAGGCCTGGGCTAGCTAGGCGTGAAAGGTGTTTGCAACCCGTCGCTAGCTAGGCAGCTAGCTACCCCAATTTCTTAAATGGAAGAACCCCAAAGAGGGTGCCGTGGTATGCACTAACGCTACGGAACTCCCCACCCACGTATAGGGTGGCGGCCGCCTACACATGTAAATGGTGATATACACATGCACACATGTACATGCGTGCATTAGTGGTACTGCGTGAATACGTATACATCGTGCAAGTATTTGAAGATCCCTGCAGCAGTAGTCGTTAAAAAAAAAAGCAGCAATAGCAACAAGAGAGTCAGCCGCTGTACACTGCACTAAGGTCAAAAACTGCGCAATACGAACCAGCGGAAGAAGGGAAGCCGAAAGAACCAAAAATAAGTACTGTAATCGGCAGGATAACAGGTTCGGGTGTATTTGCGACTCAGAGCATCACTGAGACACATGACATAAACCCCTCATAACCCACGAGCACGGAGAAAGATCCCCCGAGCATCTACTGCACATTAGGCCGCGCCACTGCCACTTCCACCTTATTGTGTGCACTGAAGCCTGTTCAAACACAGCAACAGCAGAAGCAGCAGCAACGCATCCAACCTAGTCGAGCGCTACGGCTGCTGCTGATGATGGTACATGATAATAGTCCTGCTGTTGCTGCTAATGTTACCGGTACTGTCACAAGCACTGCCGTTTTCTGCTCCTGCTGCTGCTCCTGTTGCATAAACTACTGCTGCTGCTTGCCGAGCTGCTCCGGCTGTATCCTGCGGCGCACCTGTGCCTCCAGGGATGAGAGCCACGGTATCTTTTTTCTCAATTACGCCAGATGTAAGAGCTCCCTTCTTTCCAAAGATCAGTTTCTCCAGATACTCCTGCGTGCAAAAATCATACGCAAAACCCAAGAAATGCATGCAAGAACTAGATCAGGTGAGCCTGTGTTGACGGGTAAAATGAAAAGCAAGCCAACAGCGGGCCAGTGGGATGAAATAAGCAAAAAATGTACAGGACACAAAAATCGCCAACAAGAGGTAATACACCGCAACCCCGCAAAAAACAAACGCAAGAAAGTATATGCATTACACCGCAACCCCGCAAAAAACAAACGCAAGAAAGTATATGCATACATGCATTCACGCAGATGCTACTTAACGAGACAATCCTCCGACACCCAATCATAAAACCTAAAGCATGGACGCCCTGACAAGCACCGAGAGTGCGTACGGTTGGGGCCTTCGAAGGCCATTTACAGCAGTGGCGAAGCATAAGAAGCATGAAAGGTATCTTCTGCCTTAAAAAAATCTCAAGCAGGATGTAAACTTCCCAGAGAAAGCATGGGCATGAGAATGCAGTAACGTGCGCTTGAATACGTGGAAACAAAGTTGCCACGTGCCACACACACCCACATAAAAATGCAGGCGGTATGTGCTGCACTCACGAGCAGAATGACTTGGCCAGTGGCTTTCACCACCGCTGCCTTTTGATGCGAAATCTCTCGGCCGCTTAGAGCGCACAGCCACCTGCAGAGGAACAAAGTCAAACAAAGACAAGCAGTCTCATCAGGAGCGAAAGGGCAGAGCCCAGACGACGGAACAACAGTGCAAAGAAGAGGAAGGGATGAACCTCCCGCAGATACATAAGAAGGAGGGCAAGAAGGTGTAGTTAAGAAACAGGGTTTCAACACGTGCAGAAAACAAGAAAAAAAACATAACAAGCCAAGGCGTATGCAAACTAAAACATCGGAGAAAAGCGAGATGCAATAAATTACAAACAGGGCCATCCATATATAGAAGCACCGGGGAAGAAACACAAAAATGACTGAACCGCACGCGAAACAAGGATAGAACCCGCTGGACTTCAAGTATGAATCCCGACACACCGAGTATTCTCTGTGTCTTCTTTAGAAGCCACATTCGGCTTCACCGTTACAAGCTGTTTTATACGCAGTGGGGTCCCGGTAATGGGGCAGCATAGACCTCTGCAACACAAGGCGAAAGACGAACGTACGCAGGACTGCAGGAGCAGCAACCGCAGCAGCAACAGATTCTTGCTGCAGGCCAGCCCCAAGGGCTGAACATGATGAGGCAAGTGGCATTTCAAGAAGCAGTAGCAGCACCAACACCAACTGTGGTTACAAACTTCTCTGCCACCCGCGCTGCCCGGTAGATCAAGCAGGATGATAATCAACAGACCCGAAGCCCTAGAACAATCTTTCTGCACCCACTTCTGGGGAGCCTTCGGTTTCGCCTCAGGTTCGTCTGGTGTGTTCTCCGGCACCTGAATCAAACCATAGCCTAGAGCGTAGACCGTACAAACGGTATGCGAGGCCACGTGGGAAGCGCACGGGCAGTACAAAATTCAGTCTGGTGCGAGAGTGCTACATCACCATCAGCATGGACATCAGAGCACACAGCCCTGAATCCTAAACCCTAAACCATATGTTGTGCTTGACGACGCACCCAGAAGTTCTTCGCCCTCGCCTCCTCCTTGGAAGTGATGGCGGTTCGCTCCAGGGTTCGCCTCTGCCATAAAATCACAGACACTCAGCTCTAAACCCTAAACCCGTAGTTTTTCAACAAGCCCTCCACTCTGAGCACTAAACTTGTGGAGGTTAATCAAACCCTCATCCTTGCTGCTTGAATTCTAGCAGTCAATCTACATTCTCTTTCCCCTCCCCCCTTCTCCCCGCCTTCGTCCCCCAACCCTCAATCCCCCTTGAACCGTGAGCAGCCTCTCTCCCTGGCGAATGAGACCTTTAGGATTATGATTTAGTGTTTGTTTACAAATTCTTCTGCAGTAGGGGAGGTTTGGGTGTTGGGGACAACAGCAGTGGAGGCCTCGGGGGTAAGAGAGGCCTCGGCTTCTAAGAAGGCGCGTTGGGTTGCTGTGGCTGCTGCTTCTGCTGCTGCTGCTGCCTCCTAAGAAAAACAAAATTCGCACAACCGGCCACGCATATGAGTGCATATATAACGTTCCAAGCATTAGACTCTTTAGGCTATTGACACAAGCTACGCCGGCCAGGCATCTCCATTAGTCACTGCTTATCTGGGGCAGTGTTTTGGTTGTGCTATTTGTATAAGCAGAGGTAAAGGTAGCATAAGCTCTAATGCCTCCCTGCTTTACGCGCAGGGATTGCTTAAGGTTTAGGGTTTGGTGTTTGCCTGTTCTTTCTGCGCCTGGAGGGCCTGCCACTCCTTTTCTTCCTTCTGTATCCTTTTCTTTTGCGACTCAAAATTCAGGAAAAGACATTCTTTGCAAAACAGCAAACCCTGCGGCCACCCAGACAAGCCCCTATCTTCAACGACCCTATGTGATCTTAGTCTCGCAATGCGAACTCGCAATGCGAACCCCTAAGCCTTACTTAATCCCCAGCAACAAACCGCAAGCATTAAAACCTAGGGCAAGCACCTGGGGGGTGGCTAGGGGGTTTCTGGCCGGGCTGAGGCAAAGCCAACAGCTTTCGAAGCGTCGGCATGCACGGGTATCCAATCGGCCTTTGAGTGTACCGACACCCAACGCTGCGAACCGGAAAAAACAAGAGGCGCAGGAACTCAAGGTGAAAGAGAAGGAACGTGGAGGGTTGAAGGCTATACCAACTACAAGCAAGTACGAAATTATTGGGCTCTGCGCTTGCGTGGTGCATACAAATCAGTACAGTGTATATGCAGTGTATATACACTTCGACGGGCCCTGCTATACAAAACCACCATAACAGGCTGTGGTATGCAGATCCACATCGATTGCTTCGGCGATGTAGCCTGCACAAGACTTGCCCTGTACCCAGACGCGAGCGTTTAGGCGAATGCTCACCGCGGATTTTCTTCCGCTCATGATATGAGTAGAAGGGAGCGGAGGTGGCGTTTTTGCTGTGACGCGCCATCCTCCTCTTTAGAAAAGGGGGACAAAGAAGTCAAAGCCAGAAGGGGAAAGAGAAAATGATCTCAAAAATGCAAGCACAAGAAGCAGTGGGCGGCAATGAACTGCTCATCCACCCGAACAAACGAACTCGCAAAACTGGTAGTTCTCGAAACGGAGGCAACAGGCAAGCTGAAAGCCAAGTGAAGTTAATTAGTGAGAAATTTCCTCTTGGTTTAGCTCGAAACACCTAAGCTTGTTCACTTGTACCCTATGGAACGCCGACCAGTTCGGGGGCCCTAGAAAGCCCCAGCACAGCAGACGACAAACGATCCGTAATCCACGAGCAGTTTAACCTACACCTTATTTTTTGTTGGTTTCATATTCGCTTTTCAGTTACATTACTCGAATATCGGATATATACATCCCTCTTGTCTTTTTCACTGCGTCCGCCTGGGGGTTGGGCCTCGAGGGGCCTGGGCCAGTGTTCTTCATTCTTTTAAACATCAGTCGGCGGTCCCTCCTCTTTATCCTTTCAGGCAGACAAGTTTGAAAGTCAATGAGTCTGTGTTTTTCTAGGGAGGGGCCTACACCCTCATGTGTTGGGGGGCCCCCGCGGGGGGCCCCCCAGCGCTCCCTTGTCACAATTTTTAGGGGCAGATGGTCAGTTGTTTGCGCCTTATTACTTACCGTGCCTTTATTTGAGTGTATGTATACCCCTGGTGGCGCTGCGCCTGTTCCCGTTCCTCCCGCACCGCCAGACGCGCCTTCAGTGCCTTATTTCTACGAGCGACAGCAGCAGCTTCACGACAGCCCGCGGCTGCTGCTGCTGCATGACTTCCCTCTGAAGAGCGGCGCGGGAGAAGATGCAGTTAAGTTTGCTCGAGAGATGTATCCAACGCTGCTGACTTACATTGAAGGTGCGAGGAGTCTTTGGTTATGAAGTTCTGTCTCTTGCCTGTCTCGTCGTTCGCCTCTCTCCTGTGGAGATTTCTCCATCCACACTATTTCGTTATCCTGTGATGTCTTTGTTTTTGTTGTTGTCCTCTTCCCCGTTTCTGTATTTGTCCCATTTTTGCCGCGGAAGGCCCTTCTATGGCAATCGTGGTTTCTCGCCACGCCATCGGGTTAAGTAATATAGCCATCTGAGCGCGTTTAAGTGTATAAGCACCTCTCCTCCCTATGTCAATGCCTATCTTGTTGGTTTGTCCACTGCGTGTGTACAGATACCGCGGGAATTGATGTCACAGCACTGCCTGTCTCTGCTGAACCCCGTTTGTTTGCCTTTGGGGAGGCTCTCTTCAACTTCATTCTCATTGTGTCCACCTCTGACAAACACCGTAGGCCGCAGCACAGATTTGCAGAACCATTGCTTCTTCTTTTTCATTGGCTGCTCCCCAGCGTGAAAATGTTGCCTGCTGCGCATCTGTCTTGGGCGGCTTTGCAGTACAGTCCCTTCATCTGTGTTGGGAAGACTATCTATCGGGTTCATATTTCTGCCTGTCTCCCCAGTGTATCTGTCTTTGATTCCCCTCGTTTCCTCCATCTTCCTAATTGTGTCTCTCTCCGTCGCTTTTCCTCTACCTTTTGCTGCTCCCTGGCTTCAGTTGTCTCTTTCAGTGTCTCTTGGCTTCATCTTGGCTTCACTTGTCTTCAACGCATCTCCCCCTCCCTCTTCCGACCCCTATTTGCACTTCTCATTTCGCGTTCTGCTGCTGCTGCTGCGTTGGCGGCATGTTCGCTGCCAGCTGTCCCTTGCCTTTTGTACACTTCCATTGTTCTCCTGTTTCTCCATCAGTTCTTCTCCTCCATCTCCAATCGACCTGCTTGTGAGTTTTGCTTTGTGTCTCCTTTTATGTTTCTCTGTATTACTGCACTCCATCCTGCCTCTGTTTGTGTATTTCTTTTGTTGATTGTCCCCGCAAAGAGATGAAGGAACAAACAATCAATGCTATCTTAAAATGGCTAGACGGCGGAGGCGAGGAATCTCAAGGATCAGATCATGAGCAACACCCGCAACAGCAGCATCAGCAGCAGCGGGTGCCGCAGCTGCTGCAAGAAGATCTGCATGATCAGCAGCCGCCGCCTCAGCAGCAATACTACTCCCCGCTTGAGAAAAGCCGATCGCTGCTGCTGTTGCTTGGGCCTGCTGCGTCTCCATCTCTGCTTCAGCTGGCTGCTGCTGTCTTTGGCCCGGCTTATGTTGCACCTTCCTTCTTGCACCAGCAGGCAGCAGACCTATTCGGTGCGGTCTCTCTTAATCTCGTAACCGCACAGCAGCAGAAGCAGCATCAACAGAAGCAGCAGCAGCCTCACGGGACAATGTTCGTTACTCGGGAACTTCTTGAGGGCCATCCCCACGTTGTCACTCCACTCGCCGAGGGTGCGACGCAGCCCCCTGTGCTACAGCAGCAGTTGCTGCTGCAGTTGTCCCTGCTAGTGTCAGTTGTTTCTGTTGCGCTGCCTCTAGCTGCGTTTCTGTTGCCGGTGACAAACATGACGAGGCTGTTACTGCTGCCGCCGTTGTTGCTGATGCTGCTGTTGCTGCATGCCTGCTGCAGATGAGTTGCTGCTATACAGTGGCGGCTACCATCTAGGAGCTCTTCAGATCGGCTGTGGGGTCCGGGAGTGCGGGAAGGAACCGCTGCCGCCATATGCATTCCCTTTGCTACTGGCACCTCCTACGGCGTTCGCAATAGACAGAAACGGCAGCAGCAGCAGCGCCTACAGCAGCAAAAGCAGCAGCAGAATGGCCTTCGCCTCTGCTCTGCAATCGCGAGGCAACAACAGGGTTCTCCTCTTGAGCGGCCCACAGGCCTGCAGTGGCGCCTTCACAGCAATCGACTACATACCTTTCGCCGGATATGAATTCGTTAGCCTGATGCTGCTGATGCTTTGAGTTGTTTTGCCACTCCTGCTGCTGTTGTTTAGGGTCCTGCTACTGCTTCTGCTGCGGCAGGTTCTAACAGGGCTGCTCAAGTGTGGGCTCTGGTACGTTCTCTGTGTTTTCTGTCAGCGTGTTGTTAATAAACGCTTCTGCACTGAGGCGATAGCCTGGGCCCTCAACAGACAGGGAGTTCTCCGATGGTCGAACGTGAAACACCGCAAGGTCTGCTATAGTTGGTGCTATTCCTGCTGATCCGACGGCTGTTGCTTCTACTGCTGCCCGCTGCTGTTGCTGATACGGCTGTTGCTGCTGTTCGGGATGCCGTAGAAGGAACAAGGGGTCCTGCTGCTGCTATGCCCGATAGAGGTAGGAAGGGCTTCGGGATAGGGTTTCTCCGCATAGCTGGGCTTTGTCCGTGACCTTTGCGGTTTCTCTGCAGGTTGGGGGCGAGAACAGCCGTCTGTACACCGTAGGGGACTTCCTGCGTTTTTCTGTGGATTTGCATGAGCTAAGAGAAGGCGAGCCCCCCTTTTTATTTTCGTCCTTTTGCATTTAGGGTGCCTTTGAATTGGCGCTATATTTCCCATCAAACCCGAGACTCTAGCGCGTGGCTCGCATTCGCATGGAGTCACCCTGCTGATTCTAAGCAACGGGTCCTGGCTATGCGGGCTTAGGGTTTAGGATATAGGGTTTATGGTTTGCGGTATCAGGCTTATGGCGGCCGTTCGAGGGCCAAGATGTTCAGGTGGAGTATGTCTTGGGGGATCCTTTGCTGCGGCTTTTCCTCCAGAGGGAGGCGGACAGCCCAACTTTCTCTGCCGAGTTCAAGGTGCTTTCGACAGGAGATAATGTTTAATGTTTAGGGTTTGCAGCTTGAACTTTAGGGTTTTGGAATTAGCGCTGAACTAGGGTTTATGTAGGGCGTAGGGTTTAGTATTAACGCTTTACACTAGTGCTCCCCAGACATTTGCTGCGGAAGGTTATGCTAGACGGGCTTACGGGCGTACGGTTTAAGTTTAGGGAGCACTCCAGTTTTTTCCACCTGGTTACATGCAAGTGATTGCATCTCTGAAGGAGACAGGGAGCCAACTGCCGTGACCCAATGGCGAAAGCTACACAAACATACAAAGTGGCCCAGCGCATCTATTGTTTTTGTTGTTTGAACATGTTATGCAATGACCACAGGACGACCTGAATGCTTTCTGTCTCCCCTCTCTCTATTTCGTTGCCTGTCTCTGGATCCACACCACATATTGCTGTGTTTGTTATATGTGTCTGCTTCTTCAGGCCCCTGACAGAGCGGGAATCCTGAAGTTCGTCTTGCGGCACGCCAGGCTGGGATACAGCTCGCTGCTCATCCGTGAGTAGGGCATTATGGTGTATGCACAGCGGCTTGACGATAGACAGATCCATCGAGGGGGTGCACTGTAACTGCAGCACTGTACCTTTCTTGTGCAGTGGAAGTTCCATACATGTTCACTTTTTCGACGCATGTGTGCTGAGCTCGTTACAGATCGTATATATATTGTATGCTGTGTCTAGGCCCCTTGTGTACACATGCATGTTATGCTCACGGTACATGTTATATATATATAACAAGTACCGTGAGCATAACATGCATGTGTGTGTGCGTGTGTGTTTCTGTGTTTACAAGTGTTTGTGCACGCCCACGTATCATTTCTATGCACGTTGTGGGTGTAGACTGTGCTTACCATGGATAATGCGTATGTTGCGTGATGCGTCATACTTGTTCGTTACCTTATCTATCATTGATAACGCACACATGTGCGTTGATGCATGGGGGGGTGTACGCACGCTTCTTAATTCCTGCTCCTACATGCGGAGCCCCTGCTGCAGTCTGCTCGAGCTGGGCGCAACCGCCAGTAGTTTGAGTTTTGATTCAATTACTTTGACTCAGCAGTAATTGGTACCTCTGAATTGTAAAAATTTGCATTCATCAGATATGATGTGCGGTTGTGCTGCAGATTCCCTTGCCCCGTTACGAACTCCCCGCACTGACGACGCGGATCAGCTGCAGCCCAGCGGCGGCTTTTACTACTTCGTAGCTGTCGCCGTTCTCCTCGGTATGCCACACTTGCCTCTGTGAAAATATGTGTGTCTGTAACACCGAAACCAACTGTGTGCCTATAAAGCTCAACGGCAACAGGCATCTGTATACAGTATGCAGTGGTGTGTGTTTATATTGGCAATGCAGCGTCAATAGCTTTTCCGCAGTGTATGTTTTTGGTTAAATTTTGGAGTGCACGCACTGTATGCCGGGGTTTCTGGGGGTAGTAAGACGGCGGTTGTGCTGAATTGTGCGCCGCTTTTCTGTCAGAGTACACGCGCTGTGCTGCTGCGCTGTGTAGGCTTTAATCCCTATACGGCAAAACGTTGTTTTCGTAGACTGCAGGCAGTTCCTGTTGTGTGTGTTTTGGGGGGTAGTATTGGCACGTATAAACCGGTCCATGCTTGTTCATGTGTAAGGGGGAGTAGGGGGTTGTATGGATTGTATGTTGTCGCTGCACCGCGCAGGCACCGCTTTTGTCGCACTTATTCTTATTTACGGAGGCGACCATGCAGTGGAAAGGCCAAAGTCTGCCTAGGCTACAGCAGTGCAGCCCCAGCAGTCCTGGGGTGTACGTCCAGTATCCTGCAGTGTTGCTGCATATAATAAGTGCATTAGAGCCACTTAAACATATTGAATCATCTTTTTAATGCATATTTATTGTAGAAGACCACGGTGAAGGGCGATTTGGAAGACGCTCAACTCCTGTAGCGCCTCGCAGCGTGTACACCGAATTATAGGCGTGAACAACACATAAGGAGCTTCCGACAGAGAATAGCACATATAAGCAATGTAATAAATAACATAAGTGAATTTTCACTGTTCCCTTGAATCGTCGACCGCTCAGTGTGCTTGGGGGGCCCCACGTGGGGCCCCCAGGTGGTTGGGAGTCCCACGGGGGTCGAGTCTGTCTCCAGCGGAGAACTCCCTCCTACAAGGAAAAACTTGGACTAAGGAACAAGAAGAGTATTTGCGGTTGTTTTCATTTTTGTAAACACACGGTAGGGGCCACGGTATAACCAGAGGGCGCTTGCGCCTGCGGTTAATCGCGTGGCTCCTCCGTGTTTTTTGACTCTTCGTTACTTTTTCACTTGTGTTTTTCCTTAATTTGAATCGCCACATCTGTCTTTGCAATCCAACATTTCGTGTACGAGCACCTCAATTCAGGCCCGTTGGCGGTATTGAGCATAATGGGGCTACAGCGAGCTGTCCGGCAACCCTTGCAAGAAGAACAGGGGTCCGTGTGCTGCTCGTCTGAAGAGGAAGACGCTGCAGACATGGCTCTGCGCTTTCGGGTGCGGACACATAAACACCAGCTACAGCAGCACGAAGGGGACGGGGGTCCCCGGCTGCAGCACGTGGTGGACAAACCGATTGCTTGGGGCCCCACTGTGATGCCGCTAGCGTCTGTTTTGGGAGATTCGGAGGGGGCAAAGACCGACAAAGACCTCAAGGGCAAGAGACACAGAACAGACATACAGGGCACCAGAGACAGCTTCGAGCTGAAGGGCGTCTTCTCCGTAGATGAGTGCCAACGTCTCGTGGAAGCAGCAGAGGCTCAGGGCTTCGAATATTGGGCCAAAGAGGCAGACGATTTCTCCTGCAGTAGCGTCTCCGACAGGAAAAATGAATGCCACAGCAGCAGGGGCAGCAGCAGCAATGGCGCCAACAGCAACAAGAACAACGGCAGTAACGGCAGCAGCAACAGTGGTGGGAGCAGCAGTGTGAGTAAACGCGCAAACCATAACTACCGGTCGGCTCACACACTCGAAGTGGAGCATTCGGATCTCGCAGACCTGATTTGGGTAGGTGTTCCCGAGTAAAACAGCTAGCTAGCTAGCTGTCTTTGTGCTCCTCCACAGCTAGCACGCTAACAGGTTAGGTAGCCAGCTAGCTACGGAGAGAAGCTGATATGCAGATATATTGGAGTTTTGTTTTTGTGCCGGAGAAAGAAGCAAAGGAATCAGACCTATGTTGGGGGAGATGACCCAGAGAATTCGACATAAGGTGCTTTAGTTGTTTCGCTACTAGTGGAGGTTCAGCGCCGCGTCAGTCATTGAATTCAACGGGATGTTTGAACTCATTAATATATAAGCAACTTTGCTAACAAGCACCCAAGTGATTTCTTCAGCTATTGTATCGGATCAAGGCGAAATACCCAACGCTATTTCCCCCTCCCCTGAACATATTTGCAACTCACACGGAAATTGATAGAAACGCAGGGAGTTGTCTATTTACGCGCTGAAGGGCGCTTTTGGGTTCTATAGGAAGCGGCTGCTTGTATATGAGTTTATTTGTTCGAATAGCGGCAGATGGAGAAAGTAGGTGGGGATCTGTGCAGGATTCGCTTGTCTCCTGTGTCATCTTCTATCGCCTGTATGTCCAGTCTCCCCGTATATACTCCATAATTGAATATTATGGGCTCCACCTGCATAGGTTTATATATGAAATAGTTTACGAAAATCGTTAGCGTCCAGTGCGTCGGACATGACAGGAACCACTTCATGAAACGCTGTTCGCGAAAGGAGCCTGCATTGCTGAAGGCACTCCACTTGCCCCTACGTTTGCAACAGTGATTGGCCGTGCGGTAGACTTAGATGCCTTGTGAATATACAGCATTTACTGTCCGTGATTTATACTCTGTTGTCGTTCTTGGACCACTGCAAATCTCTGCAGGGCTTCACGCCAGTACGCTTGACACCGGTGTCTCTTGTCATCTGCCGAACGCAAGTTCCGCTCAGATAAAGTTGTATCTTGAATTTAAATTCACTGGCTTGGCTTGTAGATGAAGTAAAGGAGATGGAGATGCAAGTATATGAAGACTTTTAGTTCAGTCATTTCGTTAAGTGAACGGCTTAGTTATATGGCTTATATTATTACATCAATGTTTTTAGTCCTGTTATCTATTTGTTCCGGTATCGTCAGCGCGGTTGCTGTTGCTGGTGTTGTGGCCGCTACTGCCATTCTGAAGACGCTAAGCGTCGTGAACAACCTTGAACAGGTGAGAGCTGAGCGTCGCCTAGTTGCACCATCTGAAGCGGCAGCTGCTGCAAGGTTTCTGTGCTGTTTTCGCATCAGCAACGCGTGAAGGCGTATGTGGTCAACGAGGTTTCTTTCTCAGAAGAAGACGCAGAAAGGTTTGAAAGGGACCTAAACGGCACTTGGGAGGCCTGCGGGGTCAACAGCACTCTGCTGTTTGCAAGGTATTGTCCCAGGCGAATAGGGTCGGATAAAAGCACAACACAAGCATTTAGAAACCACGCCCAGTCGGACGTAGGACCGTAGCTGCAGTGTGCAGCACTAACAAGCCAAGGTCATAGGAGCTGCTGTGGTTAATGATAATGGGACTTGCTGAGAGACAATTCACCAGCGAAATAGAGAGCGCGGCAGGATTCACTACTGGATGGAGGATATGCAAACAGACGCCGACTGCATTAAGACGGATCCAATCCAATACCATGAAAGAGGTAGAAGCCGGGATGAACAGAGAGAGCAGCATCGCAAAGGAAACATGACAAAAGAATGTTCCGTGCAGAGGTGTCTGCGCAGGTATACAGACGGAGAGAATTTCGGGCCGCACACTGACGGGTGCACTGTTAAAGACTTCAATTGTCGGTCATTGTGGCCGATGATTATTTATTTAAACACTCCAAGCAGTAAGCGTTGAGAACATCAGGAAAATGGTTCATGAGCGCACGTAAAATATATCACTTCATGGATCTGCAGCTGCACGTGAGTCTATATATATATATATATATATATATATATATATATATATATATATATATATATATATATATATATAAGGCTGCATTTGCGTCTCTGTGTGCTTAAACACGCTGACATAGATGGGCAAGTGTTTACGTGGACTTGCAGATACTGTATATATATATATATATATATATATATATATATATATATATATATATATATATATATATATATAT